GCGGGGTTTCTTTTTTTGTGTTGGGGGGGGGGGGGGGGTTGTAACTACATTAGCACAACGACACAATGGGGCTCACGAATCCACTGGGCCTTGGGACACAAAGCTTAAAACCGGGACTGTCCTGGTTAAAACGGAACATCTGGTCACCTTACCCAAAATGCTAAATCATCCATCGATGTGAATGTCTGTTTTGTCTACATGTGACCTGCGATTCACTGGCAACCAGTCCAACATGTAAGCCCAAATTCAGCTGGGATAGGCTCCAGCTCACCTTCAACCCATGGATGAAATTAACAGTCATCATTTAACTCCATTTCCCATATCTTCCTCACTGGAACACCATCTTTCACTGTTATTACAAGCATCTACAGACGACCTCTCTTTCATTACCTTACCTTGAGCTGCGTGCAGCTGCCTGCTTAATTTGTCAGAGTCCTTCTGCATCGTTTGGATCTGTTGCCTTTGGTCAAACACCATGAAGGCTACAAACACCTGACTGGCCAGCAGCAGACATGCCAGAGTAGTCAGGCCTGCCACTTTCAGGGCGTAGCCAGTGGAGCCACTGAGTGGTCAGGGGGAACAAAAGACAAAGAGAGAAGTCACTTCAGTGGAGCCACTTCAATAAATGACTGTCTAGCTACTCTCCATTATATTCAATAATGTGAACAGCACTTTAATATATTATTTGTAGTTTTAAATGAACTATTGATTAAATAATCAATTTAGCCTTTTTTCCAGAATCTTGCCTTGATCATTAGAAATGTAATATATCTTTCGAAATTTTTGAAATAATGGGCTTTTAATAACCTAGGCTAATACAGTAGTTAAGTCATAGTTATAGTAAATCGATATGTGAGAAATACTGTGTGTTGATCATAAAACAAGCACGCCGTTTTTATTAGGCCACACCCTGTTCGTAACTTCAAAATAACGTATCCACGATATATTTTGTTCAGATTACTTACTATTTATTTATTAAAACGTCCTGGCATTTATTTTTTTAAGTTGGTCATAACTGACAAAGGAATCGAGGAGGAAGTAAACTTTGGAATCCAGCATCTTGAAAAAAATCTCGAATTAATTCAAACTCTCATTAAGATATTTTTATTGTCTTACAAAGTATTATTGTAACACCTGTTCCTGAAGAAAAAAAAATCATCCTTGTGAAATAAAAACCGAAAGTATGAAACTCGCCTACGCATTTACAAACTACGCATTTACAAACACCTGTTTCTGGTGTAAATTAGCTGTAAAATTTTAAAAGTAAATGATGTAGTTAAATGCGTACAAAATAAAAGGTAAACAATAAAAATGACTGAAATGAAAAATGATTTCATTTTTCATCTGGACTTTATGGGTATCATAATTCGAAGCTCAACTGGTACCAATACTCACCGTCTGGATCTTGGTTCACCAACCAAACGTTCAGCACTGCCTGCCCTATCCAGAGGCGCGTTTTCACCAGCTTCCTCCATTATTTGGCGTTGTCTACGTTTTTTCCTGTCACACTACTGCTCCCACACTGGTCTACAACAAGCTTTCTTTTATAAATACCTCCCTTAAAAAGAAGAGGAAGAGAAAGCAGACAGGTTGGTATGAGGGAAAAAACAAACTGAAGTAGGCAGGCTTTTACAATAGCAAAGCTGCGATTGGTCAATTTAGAAGCGCATCACTTGTTGGTAGAGGCAGAAGATCTTAAAGTCTACTTATGGCAGCCTCTCATTTAATCTCAGAGTAGAGTATTTGTCAAAAGGTGGCAACAGCATATTAATGAAAAAACATGTTTTACCACCAACTAGAAAGTTAATTCAGGGTTTTTGTGGTGACAATTGCACGTTTTATAGAAATGTTGACGTTATTTCCTCATTTGCAATCCTATGCCAGGAAATTAGGTGTTTTCGGGGCTTTCCTCTACCTTCATTTCGGTCATGGGTGAGCTAGAGCCGATCCCAAATTACTTGGAAAAGAGGCAAGGGTACAATCTGGTCTGGTCAGCAGCTAATAACCGTGCTTCTATAGCAGTCTCTCCCAACTATTTTATCTCAAAAAACAAATGAAACTAAGTTCCAAGCTCAGGACCCAAACATAAAATACATTTTATACTACTGACATAACACAAGACACATAACACAAGCCAATAATGGGGGGTGGACAGAACACTAGAAGAACCCAAAAATATGTTTGCCTTTGAAGTCTGTATTCTGCTCATATTTAGTCATGCTGTATAACCGTCCCATGCCCACAGCGTAGCTTGGCGTTCTTGCAACAATCATCTCCTAGAATTGTAATACTCTTGTATTATTCCTCTCTTCTTAGTTAGATTTGATGGTTAAGGTGTTATTCCTCTCTGTTAGTTGTGTTTGTTCAGACACTTGAAAAAAACAATGTAGAATGCTGTTGAAGGTATTTCCTGCTCACTGTGTTTACAATCACCTTTAGTGCCCCCCTCCACAGGACATGTTTAACATCAAAAGAGGAACTGTTATCTCAAGTATCTGTGTTCCTGCCATCACACCAAATGGTGGGTTGTGGTGGTCTGGTCTCACCTCACCACTCCCAACTTCTTCCAGCCACACCTGGTCAGATGACGTTACTGTTTCTGGGATTTGCATGAGAGGCGTACCTCCCCGCCTCTCATTATCATATTGTCTCTATACAGTATAATCTCTTGAATGTGTTTCTTTTACGCTTCCTGATTGAAATCTGGACCCCTCAGGAGCCCGAATCGATTCGTAAACTGCAGAAAAATAAACCCTTTGAAGGAACTGTTCATCGCCTCCAGCCTTTATTTGGATTACCAACATTCTCCTCGTCCGAAATTCAATGAACACGCGGGGAAGAGGAGGCCGCTCTTCCCCCAACACCTTCTTGTCAACAAAAGTGCTATCATAATTTTATGTTGACATTGGTGGACTCACTTAAAAAAATATTTATTACAGTGACCACTTTCCTAAATCCTAAATTTCTGAAATCCTGCAGGGTAAATTAAGGAATCCTCTAAAGTACAGCTACCGTTCCTTAAAATCTGTAACTCCTGCTGTATGACCAAAACCTCATGAATGCAGTTTCATGCTTATACAGTACGGTATATTTGCTAGAGTGTATACAGTCTATTATATTACACTGTATATCCACATATAAAGTTCAGCAGTCAAAGAATGAAAATGTCACAAATTTAAAACATTCGTGGAATTTGCAAGTGTTTGAGTGCTTGAGTGTGTCGGTGTCCACTGTAGTAGAGGAAACATGTTTATAATTTCCCCCAAAAAACGTGAAAAAAAAATTATATAGGTATAGATGCATTGAGAAACAGTGTAAATAATTATGCACAGGGAACTTTGTCTAAATGTTAAAAAAATACATTCAACATACAATAATTACATGTTTTAAGTTGCAAGTAGGAAAAAATAGATTTATCATTTATAACATTTTGCTAGGGCTATACTGTATGTAATTAAATTGAACAGTCCCCTAAAATTTCAGGGAAACAAAGATCTTCCCATTACACAATCTGAAACTAAAAATGCATTTTGCAGCAATAAAAGACAGAAGTGAAAGAGTAGGGGGCGGGGGGAGAGAAACATCCCAATTGTGAAAAATACAGTGGTGTTTTATTTGCAAATTAAAAAGCACCGACAATATTAGTTACACTGTAAAAATTATTGACAACAATTACAAATCTTTATCATACAGTCCAGGTTATTATTAGTACCATCATTGCTGTTATGTGTTATCACGTTAATACTTTATATGGAGACAACAGTTGGCAGTGAGAGGACATTGGAGGAAACGATCGCATTGAATTTCCCTACAACACTGACGTCGCACACCAATGGAGAGCCAAACACATTCAAATAATTTAGGTCTACCAAAGGGGAGCCAGTTATGTACATTTACAGTCAATAAACAAAAGAAGACTGCAGTGTGCATTTTTTTTCCTTACGTCAGAACCTTGTACAAAACTATTGCAGTAAGAGCAGCTTTTTGTTTTCTATTTTTGACATCTAGTTGCAGTGATAACACCTTCAAACCCTAAAACAAAACATGTCTGGTGTGGTGCCGTTGGGCCTGTTGTGGGAAGGTTTGCCTTGACAACTTTACACAGTTTCCAAAGACATATCTTTTTACACTCTGTCGTTGACTTATTTATTTCATGAAATGAAAGAAAACATAAGTATGGGAAAACATGTTCTTTACACTGTGAGTTTCTGACAGAGCAGCTAGCTTATGATCTTCACAGATTGGACTGGTTTACCAAATGCTCGTGTGCTATCCAGTTAGATGTATGTTGAGTACCGTTAAATATTGTGCTTTCGACATGAGTCCATCACTTTCTGCTTTTGCCCATTCAGTGGTCAAGTGATGGCAGGCAGCAGTTTGACGTCCTCTGCATTCGGCCTGAAGGAGGAATCTGATATTTAGTTTCGGTACATTCTACAAGTATCACGATGCTACAGAACAATGTCTGAAAAACAAACAAAACAGTCTTTAAAAAAAAAAAAAAAAAACAACCCAAAACATCCAAATGGTAATAGTCCAATGGAAATTACGTCCTGGCATCTGTAAATGAAATTACAAGATTCTAGCAAGGCCTATCAAAAAAAGGCTGCCACATGCAACCAAATGTCCAAACTTCCTCAAAGGCAAATGTCAAACAAATGTCTCTCTGTCCCTCAGCGTAAAGTTCTGTGCTGGAAACATCAGCACTTTGACGCTGGTTTCGACTGTGGTCCATTTCCAGAACTGAAACGGTGAAGACGAAATATGAAACACAGCCTTTGCACGCGGTACATTGTTGGGTCTTTTAGTTCAAGTTCACATGTGGGAGAGAAGGTTCGACCATGGGGGGAAGCCAATGCAGTGCCTCCTCCTCCTCGGGCTGTGAAGAGGACTTCGAGGACCTGGCTTGTCATACTGAAAGGTTCACAGCATCTCTCAGCTCAGAGAGAGCAAAGCTCCATCTGTGATTCCTCATGCTCAGTAACCCATTAGTTTCCTACACTTTTTGGAAGATCACAGAATGCAGAAGTGATTGTTCTGACTTCCAACTGAGCATCCCATCCTCAAACAGTTATAGAATAACGACCTCCTTCAACGTAGTGGTGGCGCTGAGGTGGTGTCGAACGTGTCGGTCTGCTTTTCTCTCCCCGTTTGGGTTGCTACCTGGTGTGGACCAGCTCCTCTCTGAGCCAGCTGGGGAGTGGCTGGCCCATTCTGTACAGCAGCTTGGACAGCTCGATGTTATGATCCCTGTAGTATTCCCTGAGGAACGCCAAAGACTGAAGGAGAGAGGGAGGAGTGGATCAGTTAAGATAAGATAAGAAAACCTTTATTAGTCTCGCAATAGAGAAATTCCCAATTCACAGCAGTAAAGTTATGAAAGGAAGAAGTAGAAGAACAAAATATAGGAGCTGCTGGAAAGGCAGCCACTCTCGCGGCGCCATCTTGAAATCAAAATAACAAAATAACACAACACAAAACACAGACAGTCGTTAAATCAATCAATCTGGGCTCTTCCTGGATCTTGATCTTATGAAGACGTTTTGAACAATTCTCTGCTTCCAACTAGGGCTGAACCATTAATCAAACTCAAATGGGCATTGCAATGTAGTAGAATGCAATTTTCAAATTGCAAGTGCTACAATTTTGATGACGAGTCGACTGGCAAAAAAGTCATTTGTGGCAACCCCACTTTTCACTCAACTTTAACCAGCCAGGAGTCCAAATACTTTTGTCTATGTTGTGTAGGTGAACGTTAAGGTTAAAATGATCGTACCTCAGGGTCCATATCAGGGTACCTGCGCCCTTTACTTTTCCCCAGACACTTTGTCTTCCCACCCTCCAGCAACTGGCACCAGAAACCCTTCTTGGGGTCAAACCTGCATGAGACAAAAAACACGTCATGTATGATACATTCAACCATGAATATGGCTTACGTATTGAAGACAAAAGTGCAATGAATTTTTGGCCAGCTCGCTAGTTTACTACTTTTCATAAATCTCGTCAAATGTTCCTGTTGTATTGGCATATCATTTTACGTCAATTAAGTACTATATTCTTCATTCCATGACTTTTTTCCACCCAATCCATTTCAAAATTCGAACAAATCAGCGGTTGATCAGCGTTCCAGGAAAGATTTGGACCTTTGAAGTTCCACCGGCAGGGATTCAAGCAGGTGCATACTCACGCTAGGATCTTGTGGTAGTTGATGATGTTGGTTAAGCCTAAGAACTTCTGGATTTTATCCATAACAGAAGCGGGCTCAGTTTTCAGCATCTGCCCATCCAAGACCAACAGCTGGGAAAGATGATGCAAACATTTTAGAACAGAAAAGTCATCTCTCTGCGCACCACAATGGTTCTAATATATTTATCTAATCCGCTTATCCTCACAAGGGTCGCGGGCATGCTGGAGCCTATCCCAACTGTCTTCAGGCATGAGGCGGCGTACATCCTAAACTGGTTGCCAGCCAATCGCAGGGCATACATGGACTGACAACCATTCGCACTCACAATCACACCTAGGGACAATTTTAAAGCGTTCCATTAACCTGCCATGCATGTTTTTTGAAATGTGTG